CCCCAAAACCCCAAAACCCCAAAACCCCATAATCTCTGTGTTTATTTAAAAATAATAAAATAATTAATATGGACACAAGAAGATATATCATTGACACCGATGCAGGGATAGATGACCTCCAAGCTCTCTTTCTTGCCTTGAGGCACCTCAATGTAGTTGCGATTACCACTGTCGCTGGAAATGTCTCAGTTGAAAAAGTGACCAAGAATGTTACTAAGGTATTGGGATTTAGACTGATAAAGCCTAGATACTACAAAAAGCTAGTTTGCTCTAATTTAACTATAATTTTCAACTTTACCATTTCTTAGTGATTTACCAATAAATATTCAGAGTAATTTATAAGATTTGTAATTTTAATCTACAGGTTCTTGAAGTATCTCAAAAACAAATTCCAATTTACTGTGGCGCAGAGATGCCGCTCTGAAAGGATATCGAAAATGCTGAAAGTTATCATGGAGAGGATGGAATAGGAGATCATGAAGAAATAGGCAAAATGGAAGGCTGTACTGAACTAATAAACACCACTATGAGTGCAGCAGAATTCATTCTTCAAGAGGCTCAAACAGAAGGGTTAAATATGGTTTGCATCGGACCACTCACTAATCTCGCAATTGCTATGACTCTTGACTCTTCTCTCTCTGAAAAGATTGAAAATACTTATATCATGGGAGGAACTTTATTTGGCAAAGGCAATATAGCTCCAAACAAAGAATTTAACTTTAATTTCGATCCAGAAGCAACTGCAAAAGTAATTAATAACTTTAAAAATATGCACATAATTCCATGGGAAGCAGCAGTCGATAACCCTGTTCCCAAAAAGCTTGAAGAAGCTATATTTGACAAAGATGCAGAAGGTAAATTAAAGTTTTTGGCCCAAGCCAACCAAAAGAACTTTAATGAATTGAAATTCTTTGAAATCTGTGATGGGTTTGCTGTTTTAGCAATAATTAATCCTGACTTATGAACAGAGTCTTACAACCTAATCGCTGAAGCCTACACTCAAGGAGAAGCTGCTGGCCAAATCTCATACATGTGGGAGAAATATTGATTCGCTTTTGACAAAAAGAAAGTCAACTGTAAGGTGTATCACAAATTTAACATGGATGAGTGCTGAGATCTGTTACTCCAATCTCTGACAGAATAACCCTTCCAAAAGCTCACTTTACTTCAGTATTGCCACCAATATAGGGGTTTTGGGGTTTTGGGGTTTTGGGGTTTTGGGGTTTTGGGGTTTTGGGG